AAGTGACCAAGCTAATTTGCTTTAATTACAGAGGTGAGGGGTTTTGGTTGCTTTGCAATCATTACTACCATTTTCATTCAAAAATGAGAATTTAAGAAGCATTAAATAGAGACAAAGATTTACCTGAGATAATCTTGTTGAAAAAACCCCAAACTTAAACAAAGGAAAAAAACAAACAAACAAAAACACCTAGAAGAACAAATAATAGAAAACTTCTGAACTGTAAACCCCTAAACTAGCTTTTTTCATGTCATATCTTGGATTCAGAGTCAGACTTTTGTGAAAACATTGAAAACAAGTGAAATTTAAAAAATTCAGGTGTTGATATTTCTGTCTCTTTCCCAACTTGTAAGTGAATTATCAAACTCACATTACTCAGGAATTTCCTGGTTTAATTGTCTGTTAATCTCTATTTGGATATTGAGTAAAGGAAAATATGTTACACACCAGTCTGTATCAGAGTAGTTGATCCATTAATTAGAAAATTATGTAAAACCAAGGAAATGCCAGTATTTTTAATAACAGATGTTTTAAACAAAAGATTGTGGGAGAAAAATAATATTTTTTTTAAGTGGAAGTTTTTATACACACTTTAATTAGATTTTGTCAGAATACATTATTTTAATGGTTTTTCATTAATGAAGGCTGCTCATTGCTTTGTACAGTAAAAAGAAGGAAAAAAGTAATCTCGGATTCTATTTAAAGAACAGACAGTGTATTAAAAAACTATTAAAGGTGCTGCAGTAATTGACGGAAAGATTTTGCATGAGAAAAGAATCTAGGAAGCATCAGGTAATTTCAGACAAGGATGGGTGATAATATCTCTGGCCTTAAGTGTTGTTGGAAGCTTTGTATGTCAAACACGGTGGTGTTGCCAAGGCCCCTGACCCCAGCTCTGCTTTCATGCCTTGGAAGCCAGTGGCCCTTTTGTCCCTGATTGGAACTGAGGTGTAAGGTCACCTCAGGCACCAGGCTGCAACCCAAAGGGTGCTGGTGGAGTGTCCAGACTTGGGAGATGGATGGGCTCTGCGGCCCCCTGAGCCCCGAGCACACACAGGGCAGGGTCAGCAGGGCTGTGGGGAGGGGTCCTCTGTCCGTGTACCAGCCCAAGGCAGGAGCAGAGCAAGTGTCCATCTGGCTCTGCAGAGTGGGAAGGGTGCAAAAACACCCTGCAGGGTTGGGAGAGAGAGTGGTCTCCTCTGCAATGCTCAGAGGGGATCACTGAGGCTGAATTCCCTTTCCTTACTGCTTTCCTCAGCCCCCAGCCCTGTCCCATCACTCAGGAGTTCTTCAGTCACCATCTCCTCTTGCTGCCATGAGCTGGGGGGTGAATACATCCCTCCTTCCCCGGTGTGGGCACTTCGTTGTTGGACCCAAGCCTGTGCTTTCCTGGAGGCAGGACACTGACTTCAATACCTGAAAATGCCAAATGTTATCAGTTATTATTCTCTTTCTCTGCTGCTCCTGCGTCAAATACTCCAGCTCCAGGAGCTGGTGTTCCTGGACTGGGGCTGTTTGATGTTTGCCTTTGGTTGCAGGTTGCCCCATTATTTCAGTGGAAATGTGTATTATATACTAGCAGAGGTGAGGGCTCTTACCTTGCTTGAGCTTTTGGAAACCGAATTATTTATTAGACTTAAAAGGCCAACTCAAATTCATTCAAAATTTTATTTGGTTAAAGCCACCATGCTTACTGTTGAAAAATGAAATACAAATAACTCATAAGTTCCTCTGTTTCTGATGGGTAAATGTCACACACAGAATTAGGGGTTTTGTTTTTTTTTTACTGTTTAAGTGAAACAGAGTCTTTATTTAGTGTCATGTTTTTATTTAAAAGCATTTATTTAAAGTTCTAAAAACAAAGAATTCAATAAAGCAAGACAGGTGTAACTGCAAATGATTAATGATATAATTCTCAGTACTTTATAAAGTGTCTAACACTGAAGAGATTTATACAGTGCAGAATGGCAATTGTGCTTTGATGGAAGGAATAGGTAATCAATATCTGCAAGCTTGGAAAAAGTGTTCTATTTCCTCCCCTAATGATATAGGGGTTTTTTGCAAAGCAAGGATGTCTGGAGCATGAGACACTTGGAAGAAGAATTAATTTGAAATCTGCAGTGGAAGATCAGTTTCAATTAAAACTGCACTTGAATGTCCATGGAAAGGAGCAGGCAGTTAGGCCTGAACCTTCTGATAGCTACCAGGGAATAAGCGAGTCCTACTGCACTATTCTTGATTACATTTTATAGGTTGTTGAGCTTTTTTTTTTTTCTTTTTTGGTAGGGGATATAATTTAGTTTGGTTTAAAACTCAAAAGTTTTCTTCTCGCCTCCCCATCCCGCCTTTGCCTTTTCGTGCTCATTGTTAAAGCTGGGATGGCCCCAATTCTGCGCTGCTGGGAATGGAGATGTTGGGGTCGTGGCCTCTATTTCTGTCTAGAGTTGCTGCCATAATAGTGTAGGTCATATTGCATGTAGTAATTTACATATCAAAAACTTCTGAAAGAAATTAATGGCAAACCTTTTCGTCTGTAAAATCCTGTGCTGATTTTAACTAGCAGGTCTTGAACCTCTAAATCGGAGCTTAGCCTTCCGACCGTAATTTGGGATGTCAGGACTTGGAGTCGCAGCACCAGCACTAAGTTGGGGTTTTGAATTGCTGAGAAGGTTTCATTGCATTAGATTTTTTTCTTTAATAATTCAACTCCAGTGTGGAAACATTTTATGCACGGAAACTAATAGTGTTACGTGAAGAAAGCAGATACTGCTAGGCTTTTCTTTGGTAAATTATAGATTTATAAGCAAGTGAAGCTACTGTATTTATAGAAAGAGATTTATTGCTATTAAATTCAAGCAAGTCAAATTAATTTTAAAAAAAGTAGACAATGTTTTTTAAAATGACACAAACCTATACAAGCCTTCAAAGGTCTGTGCAAAACTACATTTCAGCAAGAGTCAGTCCAGGTATCTGAGTCACTTGAGGTTTTACTTCAACATGGTGGTTTGTTTGTTTACCCTTATGGCTTATTTTATTCATTTTGACAAGGAAGTTTTCACTGCAAATAGGTTGAGAGCTGGCTATACTTAAAATAAATAAGTAAATGAAAAATTATGGCAAGATGCACGGAAGGAACCCTACAGTTTCTGTTAAAATAAATCCGCCTACTCAAAAAAAAAAAAAATTCCCATTGACACAGAATACTTAAAAAAGAAGAATTTGAGTGCACAGCTCCTTTTGAATGCACAGCTGAAACCACTGAGATAGCCTCTGTGAGCAGAGTGCTTTTGAAAAGCTCACCCCTTGTTTATAACAAAGCCAAAAAACGAGAGCTGGCAGGTTTGATTATATGTAGTGCTAAACATTTTAAAGCAAATTCCCAAATTTCGTGGGGTAAGATGCAAGGTTATATGAAAAGTAAATCTGAATTTCCAGTTAATTCACTGCAAACCAATTACTAGGAGCATCCTGATTTGAGAAAAATAACAGTATTTCAGCAGAACACTCTTGGTTTCCCCCACATAAGGTTTTTAATAATTCTGTTCTCCATGGTTGTGGTACATTGGGAAATTAACTGGAAGTGGCTTTTGCTGACAATACAAGTTGAACCACGAGATAAATGAAACTGATTTTTAACCTGGGCAGATGATGTAAATGATTTTTAAAGGATGTTGCAGTTTTGACTAATTGTACTTGAAAGTAAAACACTTTCTTGCTGTCACTTGGGTACCAGACAGCATTTGTGCGTGATGAGTATAGCACAAAATCTTGCTATTGATTAAGTGTCCTGCATTAGCTCATGAATGCATTTTGCAACCAGACAGATTAAAACCCAGGGTCCAGAGAAACTGGCCTTCACAACTGCTGGGTTTGGGTAGCACTAATTGAATTTACATGTGCTCCTCACATGCAAGGCTAATAAATGCACATTGATGCATCATTTACTGCTGTCTGCCTATCGAACAGACCTGCTGACTGTGTAGTTCAGAGGTATGATACAGGTGTGACATCAGGGGTCTCAGGAGAGCAGGGTTCAAGTTGGTTTTGGTAGTTGAGCTTTGGGAAATTGTTTCCCTTCTCAGCCATCAATTTCCAGCTGTAAAGCACTTCAAGAACTGTAAGCAACAAGTGCTTTACAAGAACTCTGTGCTGTTATTTCAGGATCTAAGATAATCTCTTAGTCTCTGTTAATACAATTTAAGTTTGGGGACAAAGATCATAAGAAAAATTTGAAATTCATGGGAGATTTTCCTAAGTGTACTGCTGAGTGTTCTAGTGCACCTAGAGCTGGTATGTGATGTGGAGGATAAGGTCTTTGCCTCAAACCTTTTGTTTTTCCATATTATTTTAATTGACTGTTCATCGAAACCAGAAAACTCATGTAAGAATAGCAACAAAAGAAAGTTACAATGTCTTCCTGACAGGAAGTCCTCTTTAGTTCCTCCATCCAGAGTAATTTTCTTTCCTTGTTGTTTTCTTCAAATTTACTAATATACATTTAGTTTAATTCTTTCTTTTTATCTTTTCTGGCTTCAAAACCTCCAAAAGAAATGAGATCATTAATAAAGATCATATTATTTAAGCGGAGCATTGCACAAACACAAGTTAATGGGTAGCTGTGACATTATTTGTCCATTGTGGAAAGGTAAACTGTATAGTAATATATTAAGGCTGAAGCTTTAGGGGAGTTCCCATATCACCATGTTAATTGCTAACACTTGAACAAGAGGAGCTTGAGAATTGCAGGTAGTTTTAGAGAATAGTAATTTTTAAAAAAGGCCATTGTTCCTTAGTGCCAGAGGCAAAGTTGGAGCAAGGCACAAAGCCAATGGATTTCAATCTCCTCATAAGTTTACGTGTCTTAACCTCTTTCACATGTGAGAAGCTGAACTGCAGTGGAGTTACCTGGGGAGTTCCAAGTGCTTCATCCTCACACTTAAGAGTTATCCAGCACTATTGAGCCACTGGAATGTTAATTGGCATTGGTATTTTTTTACCAGGTACCTATGGTCCCGAGCACTGGGTTGCTTCCAGCGAGAAGTGTGGAGGGTCTCACCAGTCTCCTATAGACATCGTAGACCATCTGGCCCACGTTGGAGATGAGTATCAAGAGCTGCAGCTTGATGGTTTTGACAATGAATCTTCGAACAAGACTTGGATGAAAAACACAGGGAAAACGGGTATGTTCTGTTCGTCTCCATAGCCTGCCTGCAGTCAATTAAAAATTCAAGCCATGTTCCACCCTCCTCTTTTTTCATTGTTCTGTTGTTTGGGTTTTGTGGCTCTCTTTTTTTTTTTTTTTTTAATATAATTTTCCAGTAGGAGCCACCTACCTCTGCCTCTGCATTCTGTGCAGAACTACTTCTGCAGATTGATTTTAAGGGGGCTTTTTTTAAGGTTTTTTTTTTGTTGTTTTTGTTCTCAGTATAAACTAATTCTCTTGGTAGTCAGTTGTTCCTCAGAATAAAAGGCAGTGTAAGAGTTTCAAGGTGTAACCTTGAATTATCAGTTTTGGGAGGCTGTAACATCTAATCCAAAAGGCTGCTGAAATTCAGGGCTCTGGGGGGAAGAAAAGGGGAAACCTTAGAAACCGAAAGATTTTAGAGAAGAAAGAGCAATAACTGCTCAGAGTAGAAGGGCCTTATTAATGTGTTTCTGATATGATTATAGCACAGGATTCTTCACTGAACTGAATTCTTTTCTGCTCTGTCTGTTCTGCCTTTTAGAGAAAAAAGAACAGGCATGAGTACTGCTTATTTTTACCAAAACAGTTCACCGAAAGGTCAAGGTTGATTTATATGCAAAGCCACATGCATTTGATTACTCTTTAATTCTAAAAATGTAAAACACAGAAATTATAAGGCCACCCTCTTCATTTGACAAGGTCAAATATTTTTAGGGAATTGGATTAAACCACTAATTAATTCAATTTTATTTATTGGAAGTATATTTTTATCTTTATTAACATCTGACATGCATCTCTATAATGCTTTCTGTACTGTGTCCATAGCCAGAGGTCTGCTAGCAAAACCCAGGGCGTGTACCTGCTCAGGCAGTTTGCAGCATGGCCTGGAATACACCCATGGCTTCCAGGGGATTTTGGATCTGAGCCAGGACCTGGAGTCCAGCAAGTGCTTCAGATCCAGCTCCAGCGGTTCAGGATCTTAGCAGGAGCTGAGAGTTATTGCCCCTCAGATGAAATGGAGTGGCAGGCTGTGATCCTGTTTTCTTTTACTGCAAAGCAAATCCAGTTAACATAAACCACCACCAAGCATAGCTGGGGGTTTTGATGCATTACTGAAGGGGTTTTTTTTCCAGCTTTACTAAGATATGCTCCTGATTGCTTTGAAATCCTGACTTTTTCGCCCTTTGTAGCAACATGAGGTTCAGGCAAGGTTGAATGCTATGGAAATTTGGTGCCTAATTAATCTATTCGTGGTATGAACCTTGCCCTTATGGTCACAGAGGTTGTTTGTGGTAATCAGTAATAAATGTAATTAGAAATACCTTGAAAAAGTGATGATTCTGTTCTTCAGAGAAGGGTGCTAGTGCTATACTGTACATGTATGGACACACTCCAGCACTTCTTGCAGTGAGGGACCCAAAAGTGAACACAGGATTCGAGATGTGGCCTCACCAGCACCAAATACAAGGGGACAGTCACTGCCCTGGTCCTGCTGGCCGCACTATTGCTGATACAAGCCACAACCTTGTTCTGTTGAACTGAAACGTGCCAGCATATTTTCCAGTCTCTACACAGTTGGCAATGAAAGCTGAACCTTCAGTCTTCTCTGCTGGGTGATTTTAGTACTGCTGCTATATTTGATTTCCTCACCCATTGGGGTATGGATTTTTGCTGACAAGTTATTGCTTCTCAGAGCAACAGTAACTGTCACTTTTTTTGGTAACTTATGGCCTTTTACTGGTAACATGAAGACTCTTTTTGCCATGCTGTCAGCCCGGGTTTCTTCTGCTGAGCTCCTGACTCCTCCCTTGTTTTATCGAGTCCCATTCCTTTTCTTGCTTTTCTGACCTTTTAAAGAAAGTTGCCCGGGATTATTTTTTAAGGTGGTAAGTGGTAGAGCAGCAAACCAAGTAGGATGTTTTGGCTTGTGGGTAGAAGATAGAGGCAGGCTGTGCCATAAATTGCAACGCATTTTGGCAGCGGAGTCCTGGAGCAGATGGCCATGTGAGACCTTTGTATTGCAGACTGGCAGAGAGAGTAAACTAAATAACTGCTTAAGCAATGGTGACGGATGTGGAGGGCATTTCTTTGCAATTAATGACTGGTTAAAAGAGACAGGGGTCCCAGGCAAAGCCAAAGGCCCTTAACCTTAAAGCTCATTAACTGGCAGGAAATGTGTTACTTAGGTTATTGTTATTGCTATAGGACCTAGTCTTTTTTTTTTTTTTTTTTTTTAGAATAGAACAATGAGTTATTTTTATGCTCTGAAATGTTGAAAGGTAAAGAGGTTATTGCTGTTTAGATTTGTTCTGCTTTCTTCTGTGTCCCCACCCTTTGCCCCATATCAGGTAAAGGGCAGACAATGTATGGAAAACAGCGTTCCAGTCAGAAAATGGAAATGGATTTGTTAAGCCCCTGTCACGACTAGAAATGCTTTTGTGTACAATTACAATGGCAAAAGCACTAATGTGGGTTTGATTTTGTCACCCTAGTAGCTGACCATAGTATTAAGTGGTAAAGATCGCTTGGAAAGTATGCACACATTTCAAAGTTATGTCTGCATTAGTTGTTTTCATTTGGGTCACATTATAATTAAGTGTCAGCCGGGCCAGAGGTTGATGAGGCTTTTTTAAGCCCAACCTGCCCCATGGAAAAGCACCCATGGGAGCAGTACCTCTGCCAGCATTACACACATATTGCCACTTTGCCCCTTTTTAGGTCATTGGGAACTTTTAAAAACTTCTTCTCTTAAAGAAACTGGCTACCAGAGATGTTTGGGATTTTTTATGTACTTTTCCTATGTGACGTGCATCATCCTGCTCTCATAGAAGTCGTGGTCCTCTGACTCCATCCCTGAACCTGCAAATGGCATCACACAATTGTGGTCCTGGTGGCTCCACACCACTTCCTTTGGTTTTATAATCTCAGTTATGCAATATTTTATATTAATGGGCTTTGGGGGTTGATTCCTTGCACTCTGTAGAAATTCTTGGATAAAAGTAGTGGCTTCCAAAGCCCAGTAAGGTGATGTTTGTTTATTCCAGTCCTGAATACTAGAGGTCACATGAAAGGGAGGGAATACTCCAAATCACTGGCAGTAAGAGGATGCTGCTAATCTGGGAAGGTGATGGGAACACATGTTGTACAGCTCAGCAGTGTAAGAAATACTGTAAAATGAACAATTAGATGAACATTTCAGATTGTACATCCTCCTAATTATCCTTTTAATTATTCATCTAAAACAAGTAAAATGACCCCTGACAGAGCCATAAATTATTTAGAAACTATCAAATATTTATTAGATGCAACTGAATCTCCACAGAGGTTTTTAACAGATGCAAGTGAATCTGCTTTCCTGTATTCCACAATTCCTACAATTTTATCTATGGAATGTATAACTAATTGAATGAGATTTTCACTATTTAAAGTACTGCTGAACCCACTGAGAATTTTTTAAGGGAGGTAGGGAGCAGTGGTGCTTTCAGTCACTTACGTTTCACAGATTTGGTGTAAGAAGAGAGTGACTACCAGTAGGACCCTGGCTGACACAGTCACTACCCCCTAGCCAGGACTGCATCACATACTTTCCCACAAAAACACTTGGATCCAAAGGAATTGTCGAAAGAAGCAGAAATCATGGAAGAAAACAGCCAGGTGATTTCACTGGCACAATTTAGATGCATCTGAACATCTCATTCAGTTTAACATTTAGATAGTTTTGACATAAACAGTTTAAAGTTGAGCTGTGTGGAGAAATGGCACTGTCCCTCCTCATAGGAGGGCTGAAAGCCTGGCCTGCAACAGAGCCCGCACTGAGTCACCAACAGACGAGTAACTTTTATTTCACAAGGAGCTTTCTTTTTCTTTTTTTCCTTCTTCAGCAGTAATAAAATCCTCCATCTTACATAATAAAATTGGATTTATATTAATATTCCCATTTCAATGACACAATTGGCTTGAGAACACAGAGAAATCCGTGTGGGTTTTGCTATTTCCATTTAAAAAAAAATCCCTAAACCAACCCCAAATCTTTAAACACAGGATTCTAGGCATAGCAAGCAGTGTTCTGCAATGGCTTTTGCAGAAACAAAATTCTAATTTTAGTTCTGTTTTTAAGCAACAGTTTTGTGAGGGATGAGAAAAAAAGATTTTGTAAGGAGCAATTTTTGGGAGTTGTGAGTTGTGTTTATTAAAAATAGGAGATGCTGGAAAGACAGGTGATCTTGTAGTGAGAGTAGCAGACAGGAACTTTCTGAAAGCTGGAATCAGTTCTTGGTTGGACCACAGACCTTCCCTGTAACATGTACCAACTCCCACCGTACGATTTTGCCCTCTGTTTGGACCTACAGCTTTTATTGTTACATAAAATACAAAAGCTTTTGGGAGTGAAAAGAAAATACAAAGAGGATCCTTTTGACCCTTATTGAATCACGTAATAATAATGTCAGAGTTACTGTAGTAAAACCAAGTTCTCATGGAGTATGTCTCATGAGTGGGTCTCAAAAATGTTATTGTCCCTCTCTCCGTTTTACAGAGGGGGAGCAGGGAGGGTGAGGAAAGCACCCGCCTTGTCCAGCAGTGGAGGTGGGACAGGGCACAGGGGTCCCCACCAACAAAATAAAGGAAATCTAAGAAACAGAGGATCTATTTTTTTCCTAACTTGTGATCTGCAGACCTTCTGTGGTTTATAAGGGCAGGGACCATGGTCAGCCATTACTTTCTGGAACCACATTAAACAGGTTTTGGTGGAGTTTGCCATTTAAATTTTAATCAAAGTCCAATAAGGAGGGCAAAAAGTCCTTGAGAAATACAGACTTTAGGATTTTCTGTGGCCTGTGTAACTTCATAATCACTTCCATAATTAGCCAGCATTAGTTGTAGACTTTTCTTTTTGAGCCAATCCCTGTAAAGCAGAAAATGATGACCCAACATTTTACTTGCATTAGAAAAAGTATTCTGATATAATGAGCAAAAACCGTAAATGCTTCAGAAAAACTGTGCTAAGAGTTTTTCTCTCATTGTTCTGTGTGTGCAGTTGCTATCCTGCTGAAGGACGATTATTTTGTCAGTGGTGCCGGGTTACCAGGAAGATTCAAGGCAGAGAAAGTGGAGTTTCACTGGGGTCAAAGCAATGGATCAGCTGGCTCTGAGCACAGCATCAACGGCAAGAGGTTCCCTGTTGAGGTGAGTGGAAAGACACACACGCTTATGTTCTCGGGGAAATCAAAATCAGAGCGTATTGCTGTAGTCTGAGGCGACTGTGAAATGAGTCAATGCTTCTTTCAGTGAACATATCACTTTGCAGGCCCTTCCGGCCCTCGGAGCACTCTATCTATCATCTCTCACGTGCTTTTGCAATGTCAGCTCTGAGCTCTGCTTTGCAGACGTTGCCAGCTCTCGTGTCCCATGGGTTAAGTTGCAAACAGCCACTTTTCTCGTTTCTTGGGTAAGCTTTCCAAGTGTGGGAGGATCTCCTTACAAATATCCTCAAAGTGACCTCATTGTCCTCCAAACCTTTCCTTTCCCACGATGCTCACAAACAAATAGCGGCGGGCTGGGAGCCATCGTGCCAAGACCGCTGCCTGTCATCGGAATTGCTTCCTTGCACAAACTCATGGCACTCTCTCTACCTGGATTCAGGTGCTGTCCCTTGTCTTGCACTAACAGGATTTCTACAGAGATCCGTGCAAGCAGCTCTGTGTTTGCTCAGGCTGTGCTGGAGCCAGCTGGGCCTGCGCCAGCCCCGACCCGACGGCCGCCCAGCGATCAGAGCAGGGCACTGTGCCACGGCGGGAGCGAGGAACCGCTGCGGGCACAGCGCCCTGGGAGCGCCGCCGTGTTGGGAGCGCAGGGATGGGTGACTGGCTGCAGCTGGCTGCAGGGACAGGCCTTCAGATGTCCCAGAGAGTCTCAGGCCAGGGGCTGCTGGGGAGCCTGATGCGGTTGGGTCTTGGCTTGTGACTTGAGCCCCAGGTCGCTCTGTCATCAGCGCGGTGTTTTCTGTGTCAACAGAGTCTGTTGATGGTTTTCACTCAGCAGTCAAGGTTTGGGATGGTGAGGTAAAGCAGATGTTATCTGGTATCACCTTTGCCTGTCAGTAAGCAGATAACACGCATTCTGAGAGTGGCATTTTGGAACGCGCAGGCCCAGAAAGCTCACGGGTGGGCAGAAATGGTCGTCTTGGGAGCTGGGTCTGGCAAGAACTTGATTCAGCCCCCAGCGTGCCATAATTCATCACATGTGGCTTTAGCCAACCATGTATTTTAGGAGGTGGAAAGGGGCTTTTAGAGTTCAAAGGGAGGTTGTAGTAGACTCTGGTGCATGACCGAAACCTCTGGTTTTCACCTACCTGCTCAAACTGCCCCATCACACAAGAATTAGAAGCCGTTTTTTATCTCCCAGTTGTGTAACTGTATGTTGAGAGGCCAAGATTTTATCTTGTTTTTATTGAGCTTTTCCAGCATCTTCTCTTTGATGTAGCTATGATTTCTCAGAAGGGGCCACCCCTGAGAACATGGAGCAAAGGGCCAAACATTGTCATGCTGCCCAGTCTGTCTCAGTTGGCAGTACTGGTACTTTTAAACCTCAGGAAGGCGCACTCAGAAAGTCTACAGAGCCAGTCAGCTCCTCTGCAGAAATTTCAAGAGTGGAGGTAGTGAAGAAGCCTGGACCTTCTTGTTTGTGTCAGAATTCACAAGCCCTTTCTTATGATGCCAAGGCTATTCGATGCTGGCTTGATAAATGGGTTACTTTGGAAATAAGCAAATTCCTAAGAAATAATTAATAATTTTCCCATGGCTTAAGTATTCCTAATTTTCTTTTCAATTAGTTGGAATTCTAATTCCTTCTACTTTAAAATTGAGGGTGAAAAACAAAGGAAACTGCCTTGACCACCTTTAAGAAGTTACGTCACTTGTTTGTGAATGCTGTGCAAAATAAATTGCTGTATCAGATAGGTTTAGTGTTAATCCTAATAAGGAAAACATAATTTTCCAAGTGATTTGTGTTTGTTGCAATGACATCATCCTCTGTCCTCTGCCCTTCCTTGGTATGATGACATTAGCAGAATTCCCACAGCCATTTCTTTGCTTTTTTGTAAAGGAAGAACAAGTTTCCAAACCAAGACTTTCCCCTTTGTGATCCTATTTGCCTCCTACACAAGAATTCTAAATTTCAATCATATGCTGAGAAGGATTTCCATGAGTGGATTTTGAAGGATCCAGTAGGTCTAAGGTGATGAAACTGAGTCTTTGTTGCCAGTGCATACAAAACCACTTCTCAGAGTTGGCGTTACACCTCTCAAACAGTAACTGTACATGTATGCATGGTGAAGCTTTTAATTTGTAATGCTAATTGTAGTGCAGCTTGCAACTGTCTGATGCAATCCTAATTGCCTGATGCTGGGAGGTCTGTGCCAAAAATACTGCGCTTCGTTTGAGAAGTGGCGTTTCTAGGAAGACTGTAGAAAGGATAAACCAAAATTCTGTCCTACAGAAATCAAAGCCCAAATCATTCTGTTTATTCTGAGCCCATGGACGTAGGTAAAGCTTTAAAGTAGCATGCAGGTATTGGCATTTCACGTCTACAGCAGTTACAGTGGTGATGCAGCCGAAGGGAAATATTTTCTGTGTCTAATTGTGCAACCAGATGTGGACTATGCAAAACCCATTAGTTCCAAAGCACATCCCAAGGGAACACAGATAGATCAGCTTCATCCATAGACTGAGCTCTGCGCACATTAAGTTTAGAAGTTTTTTCCTCTGGGAAACAAAGTGCTTGCTGGTAGTCTTTCTTCTTGAAGAGGATGCAGAAACTAATTAGAAATGTCAGATATAATACAGAGCGTTATTGTTTGACCATGTTGTTTGGTTTTTATTATTGTAACTAATGTGTCAGATGGTAAGGCTGTCTACGTTAATTGGTTTCCTTCATTGAAGCCCATCTGGATCATTTTTTTTTGTGATTTATTTGTTAAATTAGTTGGTAAGATATATGGGAACATCCTTGTGTTTCCTGCTTTAAAGGCATGTTGGATCAAAGGCGTATTATCTTGCAGTACTTTTATGAGTATGTAGCATATTGTGATTCCTTTTTAAACCATGGCATATGTAAAGGTATTCTTTCATTAGAGGCCTTGATTGCTTATTTATTGATTAGATTTTCCTTAGTGATACTTGAGCCTTATGAAGCCATTACATGCCTGGCTGTCTCTGAAGTAGCATTCACGAGCAGAGATGTCCCTGTGCTTCAAACTTCCACCTACAGCCAGGATCCAGATTGATGCCAGCCCTGCTCAGTGCTGGCAAGAAGTTTCTTTTTTGCTCTTTCTTGCCATTTTAGCATCAACATCTGGGAGAGGCCAGGAACCAGTGCTGTGATGCTGAAGATTAAAGTGATACCATTAGTGTATTGCTGTGTGAGTGGAGTGTGAATCCTAATGAGGATTTGGGCTCTGTGCCAGTTCAGAAAAAGTCTCACTCCTTTTTTTTTTTTTTTTTTTTTTCAAGTTAAGAAAAGTTTTAAATGTTGCATTCTCTAAATTTTAATGAATTGCTGACTCCTTTGTATTTTGTTATTGTTCTTCTCTGCTATAATTATTCAGGTTTTTCTTTTTCTTTCTGAAGCTGCAGCAGAATAAATGAACATGCAAACGCTAGAAAACCATTTAAATGGCTGAGTGGCAGAATTAAAATAAAGAAGATGAGCTTCCCTCGGGCCAGGAGAGAACCCAGGTTCCCCTCATTAGAGCCAAGAGGAGTAATTGCAGCACTTTAATCTCCCGTGTCACCGCACCGGTTACCAGCCCTGGCTGCACAAGGTCCATGCAGGCTCCCTGCTCCGAGGGAAACCCAACAACTTAATATTTCACAGCAACAGAGGAGCTGACGTGGCAGTGCTGTGCTGTGCTGGTGGAGTGCAGTCCCACCATCCCAGCATAGCCATGGTTTTATTTTTTTTGTAATTCGTTTTTAGCTGCTTCGTACTAATTTTTATGCAAAATGCTGATTATTTCTGTGAAGAGCAGAAATCAGAAGAGTGATTTTAATCATGACTGTGTTAATTTGATGTGAGCTTTGGCTGTTTATGAGCGTTCTCTTTAATGGTGCTAATTGTCAGTTATAATGTGAACACCATTATACAGTACTATACAGTAATTTATTTAGTAAATTAGGATCTTATTCCAAGGACCATACTCCAGTATGTCATAAAGACCTCATCCCTTTACTCTTACATGAACAAACTTGCATTGTCTAGGCCAAATTGCTTATAGGAACATCAGCTTGGCTTTCTGAAGGAGCAGTGTTGATTTCATAGCCACAAGTACCAACATGCATGTTTTTGAGAATATCAAGTTCTTTTCCATTGAAAAAAAAAAGCGTCCAAAAAAAAAACCCCAACAGAAAACCTCACAAACCATCCCAGCAGAAAATGAAGAGCTGACACCCTTTCATGTCAATTAAAAAGCTTTTACATTATGTTGACAGATTCATTTTACTAAATTATTATTACAAAACAATCATTTGCATTAACAGTTCTTTCTGTTCTTCAAGTGTGTTTCTCAGAAGACTTTCCAGGTTCTGATGGTGTCTTTGTTCTTGCAACGTCTTTGATTTTCATCCTTTTCTCTTTGAATCTACATACTAACTTCGGTGTGGTCTAGATCTACAGTTAGTTGCTCTAATTTGAATGCTCAGGTAACCTTGCCAAAGTTTATCACTGTGTGCTATCTTACCTCTCATCATATCACTGAATTCTGGTGTTTTATATTATCACAGGCAGATGATAATCAGTGTCATTAATGTAGAAAAAAATGTGTGGTCTACAGTGCACTAAAACCTTTACTACAGGGAATAAACTAAGACTAGTTACTGTTTGTTTCTTTCTTTATTGTTTGCCCTGAATATTAAGACTTTCTATCACACTTGGAATCACCTATAGGATGTGTTCATTGCTCTGTCCACCTGTGAATGGAAGGGGATATTCACTTCCTAATGGTAGAAATGGGATCCTTTCTGTTCTGTAGTTTTACTGTTGGTGCAGTTGTGGGTCTGTTTGGATTTGCACACACTTTATGACATTAAATGATGAACGTAGCACAGCATCTTCTCTTGGTACGTAGGAGAGAACCAACACCCTCTGTTGAAGCTGAGTTTGTTTTTGGCATCCAGCATATCTAGTAATTT